CAATCCTTCAAACCCCCCCCCCCCCCCTGCAAAGAGACACATGTATGCCTGTTTTTAAAGTGAATTAAAATTGTTCATTCTTAGGGGTGGGCTCATGGCTCACTTGGGAGAGTGTGGTGCTGATAACACCAAGACCACAGTTTTGGATCCCTGTATAGGGATGGCCGGTTAGCTCACTTGGGAGAGCGTGATGCTGACAACACTAAGTCAAGGGTTAAGATCCTCTTACCAGTCATCTTTAAAAAAAAAAATTGTTCATTCATAAGAATGTTTTAAAAAATTCCTCATACTCTCTTACTCTGGCTCCCATATTAAGAGTTTCAAAACAATAGAATGTGTAAAATCAATAATTGTATAGCCTCTGAGTGTTAAAACATAATGGCTGAAATTCTATTCCAAGAAACCCATGATTATGAAAAATTGTCAATATATTTTTGCAATGCTTATATTTAAATCTACCTAAGAAACAAGTTTTCATTCAGTGACTCTACTCCCATTATGTTGCTATTTGTGTTGTAAGAACAATGACATTCTTGGGAACACATTACCAGTTTTATAATTTAATAACCCAGTAAGACCTAAATTGTTCAAAACCTTCATGTCTTGACTGACACCTGATGGAAAAAAATGAAAATGTTTTTAATAGCTTTTCACATTTTATCTATAACTTTTGCATGAAAATTAAATTTTTATTTCATAAAACTTCATTTTTCCTGCTTATTTCCTACCTGAACTGATATCACACTTAGCTGATGTGTAAAGAAGTATCCCTGTAGCTAAGCAGCAGGACTGTTGCGCTCATAAGACTTTTTCATGTAAACATCCTTTAGTAATAAAGGAAAAAAAAAATACAAAGATGTAAACACAACAGTGTACAAGTTAAATGATTTCAAAATTTTCCAAAAGGTGTCACAACCCTAACTTAAACAACACATTCATACTTTCATTTTTTTTTTTTTTCCTTCCTTTTTGTCTTTTTTCGTGACCGGCAACGGATCGCAACCCTCAGTGTCGCGCCCGTACCGGACCGGGACCAGCAACGGGATCGCAACCCTCGGTGTCGCACCCGCACCTCGCTCAGCCAGTGAGCGGCCGGTCTGTACGTGGGATCCGAACCCAGGCGCACTGTAGCAGTGCGCCACCGGGCCGGCCCCACATTCATACTTTCTAAATGGATATTACAAATTCAAATTACATTTCTATTTTAAATAAATGCTAATTGTACTTCCCTAACTTAAAATAATTAATGCCACCATCATGTTATAGATTTTTTGACACCCTTCTCTATACACACACAATAAGATTCTCTCATATTTACCTGACTATAGATTCTCCTTATTCCGAATGAATTTAAAGGACTCACAGAAAGGACTTGTGGCTCCATGACATAAATCTGTTTAAATATGTACTTTATATACATTCTTTAATATATTACCTTTAACTTGGGGTAAAACTTATTTTTAAAAAGTTCATTCTTTGACCTGCCAGTAAAGTAACTTTATAACCAGAAAAATTAAATACATATTGTAGTATGCAGGATTTAACAATTTGCATAGACAAATCTAATACTATGAAGTGCTACTTCTGTATTTTGCTTTCTTCCTGAATAACTCTCAAATGATAAAGATGCTATATTATAACTATTCATACTGTGTATTTTTCAGACTATTCTTTAAGTTCTTAAGTCTTTAAGTTATTGTTTAGAATGACAACTCACTCTTAAAACTTGGAAAAACGTGTGTGATACTAAAGTCTTTGATTCTAAAACAAAATCAGTAACTAGACTTCTTTTTTAATAGAGTGTGAGAAAGAAGGGGATAAATTTAAAAAGAGTAAACTATAAGAAGCAAGTGGCAGCAAAGGGAGTTCAGCATATAATGGTCATACATTAAAATGTACAAGTCATTTTACATAATTGTCAAAAATGAAAAAATTTTCTCATGTACATTTTTTCACTTTTGGGGAGAAAAGGCATAAAACAAGCATTTAAAATGGCTATTAAAATAGTTCGCAAAACATATAAAGAACAAATGGCAAAGAAAATTAGCAGGAGAAACTTAGAAAAAATGATTCATGATGGGGGCTTACGGTTGTAACAAGCACCCAGACAAAACTCAATCGTTAAGCTAATAAATTTAGTTTGAAAGTTCTTATTTGAAAATACTCTCAAGCAGTAAGAGATAAAACATGAAAATGTAGTCAATTTCATTTTAACCAAATAATGAACAATGCAAGATATTATATCATGAATTCACTTTTCAGTCTACATACATAGCCTTTTGGAATATCTGTGTCCTCATTGCTTCCAGGGTCATTTTCTAAGTGTTGCTTGATTTTTTCTTCTAATCCCACAGCATCTGCTCCTTGATACTGATCAATTCTCACTTTGTTTCGAAAAAACAGAAATGTAGGCGTTGCTGATATATTGTTGGTGGCAGCTGTTCCCTAAAATTGGCAAGTTAGACTGTGTTATGATTTAAAACAAATCTTAAATCACTTTTATTCATTCATTCCTTTATGGAAGTTAAATATCACAAATATGAACTAAAAATATGTAAAATAATGTATTCCTAAGTGTTATTTAAGGAAAACAGACCTATTCCTAAGAGAGTTCCCATCGGGGCACTGCTACATTACCCTTACACACACAATGAAGTACAGCACTACATTTTTATCAGTTTTACTATTAAATACTTCATCCAGAAGAACAATAAGATTCCAATACAGAAATTGTGGTTTGTACCAAAGAGCTCTCTAATAATTACATATTATTTCTCAGAAGGAGTAACCAAGAAGGGTATTGATAAGTCAAATCACTGGTACTAGGAAAAAGTACATATTTGAAAAACAGTAGCAAATCTGCCCATGAAAAGAAGGTAATGTCTTTTGCACTGCAACCCTCCCCCAATTTTCGCTCTACGGAAATGACTTCTGGTTACCCATCGGAAACATTACAACAGCTATCTTTTTAAATTCTACCCTATCTCCACAATTTTATAAGACTAACTACTAAGTAGAAATTAGCTAATAACCATTGAGTATCATGGTTTAAACTTTTCATGACAAATATAAAGGAAATAGTAAAGCAAATGTGTCACCTTACATATTCAAATACTATGAAGAGATATCTAATCTATGATGTTTAAAGACAAAAAGCACAAATATAAGAATTTCTCCTCTAAGCCTCATAAGTAAAAAACACTATGATTGATCCTTTAGACAGTGCTGTCCAAAAGCAATATGACCCAAGACACAAATGTGAGCTACATATATAATTTAAAATTTTCTAGTATCCATAATAAAGTAAAAAGAAGTAAAATCAATCTTAATAATATATTTTAGTGAACCCAATATATTTTCAAAATAATAAACATAAAAGATAATGAAATATTTTATATTTTTTCTTTCATACTGAGTCCTCAAAATTCAATGTGTATTTCATACTTTCAATACATCTCAATTTGGTTTGCTACATCTAACCACATGTAGCTAGTGGCTACCATACTGTACAGCACAGCTCCAGAAGAAAGCACTTTCACATAGTGAACACTCAAAATAATGGCCAGTGATGCAGTCCAAAGTGACTTAGGTACTGAAACATAAACATGTAATAAGGGTTTACACCAGACTACTAACTATAAACTACATAATATTCTAAAATTTTTTCCACTCAGAAATGCAAAGATAAAGTCTCACCAAAAAAACAAACAAACAAACAAAAAACCTTGTTACAGAGCTCAAGAGCTGTTACTTTTAGAACTAAAGACTCTATAATATATTTAGTGTTGAAAGAGCCTTCCAATATCCATTTTTTCTTAGTAATTCCCCATATTTCTGTATATGCAAATACAGAAATGTCATGTAGCCATTCCAACTAAGTAATCAGGGCAATTTATCTACAACACTGTGGCTCATTCAACAGTAAACAAAATTTTAAAGTTTCTGCTGAGTATGCAGCTTTGAAGATTACAAACTGATTAATTCAAATCAAACTATAACCAAGAATTCCCTGCCAAACTATAACCAAGAATCAACCAATGCCTCAGTAATAGAAGATATAATTCTAGATTTGCAAAAGGTAAACAAAGAAATGTAAAACACACAACTGCCAGGTGACCTATTAGTTTATCAACATCATATAAACTTTATATCCAAAGGATATTAATACATATCTGAAGCAAATAACATGCAAACCTTCTTAACTAATGTATCCATAATGACATTTGTAATAATCATGTCACCATAACATTGTCCTATCTAAAAAGAAAAAAGTATTATGTACATAAAGAGATAAATGAAGGATATTAATGCTTGATTTCAAACTGATTCAAAGGTAAATTAAAAAGAAAAGAAATCCTCTCCCTTACCTGACATTGATGTACATCTACTTCCAAGAAAACAGCCTGTGGATATTTGTTACTCATAGAACTGAATGCTGGGGCAATCCTCAAACATGGTCCACACCTATGAGAAAGGAAAAAGAGATATTCAGTAAAATAACACCAAAGAATAGATTGATTTAAGCTCTAAAGCACTTGTCGTTAAAACATAAAATAAGATGAAACACTGATATTCCTGGCTTGAGACTCTCTTGTCTTTTCCACTGGGTTTATACAGATTTGTATCAATACCACATTGTATTAATGAGTACAAATATTCTATTGTCTTCACGTCTAATAATGTTAAGTCTTCCAGCTTTGTTATCACTTTGTTATCACTGAAGCTACAGAGAACCTAAATAAATGGAGGGATATACTATGTTCATGAATTGGAAAACTCAATGTTGCCAAGATACCATTTCTTCTCAATTTGATCTTTAGAGTTGATGTAAAATCCCAGCAGTTTTTCTTGTGGAAATTAACAAATTTAAATTCTAAAATTTATAGGGAAATTCAAAGGACAGCCCAAGCCATTCTGAGGTTCAAAGCTGAAGAAATTACATTACCAGTTATTAAGAACTATTTTAAAGCTTTATTGATTAAGAGTACACAGGACTGGTATAAGGATAAACAAACTAATGTAGGAAGAATAGAGTCCAGAAACAAACTCATCCCACCTACAGAAAGCTGCTATATAAAAAAGTTGACACGGGGTCTTTTCAATAAATAGTGCTGGATCAACTAGATATTCACGTCGGGGGAAAAAAAAAAAAGAATCTTAACCCCCACCCCCCACCTTCCACCATTCACAAAAACCAATTCCAGATGGACTGCAGATCTAAATGTAAAAGGTAAAATAATAAAGGATTTAGGAAAAAATATAGAGAACACATTCAAAACCTTGGAGTAGGGCCGAGCCCGTGGCGCACTCGGGAGAGTGTGGCGCTGGGAGCGCAGCAGCGCTCCCGCCGCAGGTTTGGATCCTATATAGGGATGACCAGGGCGCCCCAAGCACTCACGGGCTGAGCGCGGGGCGGCTGGTTTCAAAAAAAAGAAAAAAAAAAAAAAAAAAAACCTTGGAGTAAGCAAACATTTCTTAAACAGAACATGAAAAGGATCGATATACTGAAATACATTTGATAAAGTGGAAGATATTAAGATTAAGACCTTTTATTTATCAAAAGATGCCATTAAGAGGGTAAAAAGACAGCTCACAGACTGGGCAAAAATATTTGCAAAACATATCAAAGACTTATACCTGCAATATGTAAAGAACTCCTACAATCAATAAGAACAAGACACCCCCAAAAAGAACAGGCATCTATTTCATTAGTCACTAGGGAAACCAGGGAAATGCAAATTAGAATCACCACCACTGAAATAACTAAAACAAGAAAGAATGACATATTCTCAAGAATGTGGAGCAACTCAACTTTCATATACTGTTAGTAACAGTGCACAGTGGTATAACCACGTCAGGTAAAAAAAGGAAACTGGCAGTATCTGCTAAAGCTGTACTTAATGCGTACCTATGACCTTTCATAGGGTATATATCCAACAGAAATATTCACCTTAGGGCATTGAAAAAATATTAATAGTAGTAATATTTCTAATAGAAACTACCCAAAACCTTGTAAACAGTAAAATGGGTAAATTAATTGTAGTTATTCATGCAATGGAATACATACAATAATGAAAATGACTGATATAAGACCTCATGCAAAAACATGGATAAACCTTACAAATAAGACTGAGGAAAGAAATCAAAGACAAGAGTATACTATATGATTCCATTTATATATAGCGCAAATACAGACAAAATCTATCAATGCTATTATAAATCAGGACAATGGTTACCTTAGTGGGAGTTAGTGACAGGAGAGAGACTTCAAGAGGCTAGTAATGGTCTGTTTGGAAGCTGGTTACCCAGGTGTGTTCCATTTGCAAAATTTCCTTAAATTTTTATTTATAATTTTACATTTATAATTGTGTGCTAGGTATGTTATATCTCAATAAAAGTTCACAAAAATGAAAAAAAAAAATCTTGGCTTTAGCAAACAGGAACGTAAGGAAAAGCAAATTCTAAAGCACAAAATAAAAATAAATGTTGAAACAAGTTGTGAATGACTCTTCATTCATATTTTAATCAGCATTTTCATCCTGTGTCATCCTGAAGCCTCACACCAAAAAGCTAAGAAAATAACTATTAAGTTCTTAAATATTAAATTTAGTGCTTCTGAAAGTAGATTTTTGTTTCTAACAAACCTCACATAGGCTCAGAGAAAAAAAATTATAATGAAATAAACATTTACAGTCAACTAAAACTAGTTAGTCTTAAACTTTATGGATAGCAATATAAATTGGTACACCCTTTTTGAAGGGCCATTAATTAAGACATACCTACCCTTTTTATTTTTGTGGCTGGCCAGTATGAGCACCCAAACCTGTTATCTAGATGTTACCAGCACCATGCTCTACCAACAGAGCAAACCAGCCAGCCCTAGATATCCATTTTAAATGAACACACCCAAGACTCAACAATCTCACATCTAAAAGTCTATTCTATTTTAACTACATTTACTCAATTTCAAAATAATATGTACGAGGGTACTTCAAAAAGTTCATAAAAAAATTAAATTAAAAAATAATACGAATCTTTCCATGAACTTTTTGAAGATCCCCTCATATAAGGATGTTCAACTTAACCTGTATATAACAGTAAAAAATTAGAAACAATCTAAATGGCAAACAACAGAAAAATAGTTTAAGAAATTATTACATATCCACACCGGTGGGTAATTTGTACTGTTGGGAGGGGAGGGAGACAAGTCTCCTGATAAAATGCTCTCTGTTCTCTATGATCACATTTAAAAACTATGTATATACATAAATGCATATTTTAAAAGTTTCGAGGGACACAATAAACAATTAATATTAATTACATCTGCTAAGTGGGATTAGGAAAAAGAAAATAGTTTACAAAAGACTTTAAGTATCCATAATTCTGCATCCTTTGCTTTTGTATGACAAACAGGTGCTTTTATTTAAAAACATTAAATAAGTTGAGAATAGAGAATTTAATGTTAACTGTATTTAAACAGGTGTCACAAATGACACAGGGATTCATGCTATAACACAACATACCCATTCTTAAAAACCACCCTTCGGCAAAAGCATGCACTCAAAATAAGAGGATTTACGGAAAAATAAGCTTGAGGCAAACCAGTTGAAACCCATGCAACTTTGTAACAAGATCACTGAAAAAAAATAGTAAGGAGGACTCAGGAAGTAACTGGACATCCAGCAGGTGGTTCGGACCTTGAGGCTACCTCAGGGGATATTTAAAATGAACAAAAACCATCACGTGGAAATGATTCTTACAGGTGTTGTGACAATGCGGACGGAAGTGGGAGTTCTGAGCCAGCTGTGCTGCCATTAAGGTAGAGACTAAAGGAAATACAATGCTGAAAATGAAAACCAGTGGCCATCAAGTGCTAGGTGCAGGCGCTCATATTTAATTCTATTAACTTTAACTTTCTTAAAATAAACCTGAAAAGGAAACTGCCTATTTGGCTAAGGGCTTTTCTCCTTCCAGCTAAAGGTTTTATTTCTATTTCTGCTCTCCACTACCTAGAAAAAATCATATATGAACCAACACAACTTCCACATTATACTGACATCATCTCTCCATTCAATCATGTATGAGCTAACTGGTGTTAAAGAAATGCTTCTTGTAGCTGAACAGACTATTAAAATAATGGTTACCAAGCAAGTAACTGTTTTCTTTCAAGATTTTACCTTATCTAGATCCTCTGTTTAATTTTAGTTAGCCATCATAGGTTGGAACTTTAAGTCTTTGAGCAGAGAAGCACAAATATATACAAAAGCACAAGTACATATGGCAGCATACTATCCACACTACAATCATTCAAATGAACTGATTAGTTATTTTAAATAAGATGTTTGCCTACCTTAACATTAGCATTCAAGAGCAAACAAATTTCCATTAGCTAAGATCAGGAACAAGTCACCTGATTTCTCTGTATAAAATGAGTACTAAATTCTCCAAGAACTTTTTCCAGCTCTAAAATATTATGCACCCCATGTGTCTGAATTTCAGAATTATACCTTTTTCTCTTGCACAGACCTTGACTAGCAGCCCTTAGCACAATCCAGGATTTTTGGTTTTGTTGTAAAACGGTCCAGAGATCATCTAGACCAGAGGTTTAAAAACAAAGGGGGAAAATGTTATTTTTCTACTCTGAACTTCTTTGACTTAAAGTATGTTTGTTCAATCCAATACATAAAATGGATATATAAGAAGGATTTAAAATTATGCTTTCTGAGAAAAAGAGAATATAGCAGACAAACCTCTAGCTTTCTACAATACATAAAAAACTAAATCCACAGAACTAAACTGTAAAACTGATGCAACCTAACACAACTTACCTGATAAGAACCAAAGACCAGAAAAGTTAACCAAGAACAAACACCCTAGTTAGAGGCAGGGCCATGACTGGAACAGTCAATTTCTAAATACTATCCAAGATAAGATTTCTTTAAAAGCTTTACATTAAGTTCTGACTAGTAAGTAAGTAAGATTTGTCTTTATGGTCATAATATAAAATAAATTCTATTTCATGAACTTGCTAATTGTTCTTCCTTATTTGCTACAAGTAGCCAGTGCTCTATCTGGAGCAATAAATTGGGTAAACACATACAGCTGGTAAATGGATAAAGAAAATGTATGTGCTTTCTAAAGCCATATTTTAAAAGTTTTACTTTTCTGCTGGTATAATTTAAAAATAGGCAATTTCTGGATGTATTATATTTACTAATGGGAAGACATAATCATAATTGGTTCTATTAATTACATAAAATAACTAGCATTAATTGGGCACTTACTACATGTTATGCAATTCACAAAACCCTTGAACTCTTGTCGCCTCATTCAAGCTTTACAACTTCTGAAGACCAAGAAGTAATTACTACACTAGGATTTTATCTCAGAACCCAACTCTTACCTGCTATTCCAAAAACTCCAAACCATTACCTACACAGTGCCTTTTGTTGTTGCTATTTCTA